AACTCATAGCCAGGATTTTCACTCTCCAGATAGGATCAAAACATCTTCGCCACCGAAAGGCAGAGTAGAACTTCTTCAACCAAAAAAAAACAAGGTCANAGCACTACATACGTTGGGAAATCTTCATTGATGTGCAACACTGACCAAAGAAGTGACATCTCATCTCAATTTATCCGATTTTCCGAGCCTATTACACGTGCGTCACTCTCATCACCTCATATGAATCAAGCGCAGAGAGAAAGCTTTGGTGGCGGGTTAATGAATTCCTAGCCGGAGGCTTCCAACAAGCCACTTTCAAGAACAGACTGTTGGGANNATATACTCCGTTCTTGGCCAATCGGCAATCGGTACTGATCGCGAAGAAGGGATAACAAGATACGCTGGGTTGGAAGTGAACATTATGCAGGGGTGGCATGGGTAAGGGGACAAATAGTGGTACTCACCAGAATTGCTCACATCAATCATTGAGGTTGTTTCACTACTCGAGTGTACACTGAGCTGTGGGTCCAAGGTCTCGGTTGATTGACTAAAAATAACCTATTGGACATGAAGTATGGGGGGGGGGTTGAGGACGGGATGGGGTGGTAAAAAGAAAAATTAAAAAAAGTATAAATAGTGCAGCTATTCCCACAGATGATGCACTGTTCAGAGGAGCGCGTGGATGGGGGGTGGGTAGGGAGAATAAAAACCAGCTTGGGGCAAAAAACGGTTTATAAAATTCAAACTAGAATGTGAGATCACCAAATAAGTAGTGGTAAGGGGTTAAGTAAGCAACCCAGGTCAAATATCAGAAGGATCGCTTTGAAGCTAGAATGTTACACTCGAAAAGGCACCAACAAAAAATACGGGGGGCTGTATATATGCACATGACAACTAGTGAGTGTGCGATACCCACCAAGCGAATGGAGAATAAAACAACTAACCGAAAAATCACCTAGTGTTATTTTAAATATATCAAGATGGGCTGATATATATACCTATAAATATATGTTGAAGAATTTGGCAGCGAACCGACACCAATGGCGTTCTTGTTGTCATTTCTTATCAGGCTAGAATGCTTGAAAAGGTGTGTTTACACAGTTATATTGTGTACTCGGTGTTGACCAAAGAGCTCCACTTTCTTCCGTCTCCCTTAAAATAGGTCCCTCCCTGTCCACTTTACATATTACCAAGAACTTTGTATGCGATGCGAATTCGGCAATGATCAATGAAGTTTGCTTGCCTATATTTCGCTATAAGATGATGATGATGATAAAGGCGAACAACGAATTTACAGCCCCGAGGATCCTTCACAGTCTACCCGTAGTACCGATCGATGGTTATCGTGTTTTCAACACGATTTCGCAGACCAGGATTCTCGGCAGATTAGAGTTGTTACTTTAGGAGTAAGTCACTCTTGAAGTGAAACTAAAACAGATAGTGGCGAAGGATATTTCAAACCACGGTTATAAAGCACACTACTCTCTAAACACGATCAAGATAAATAACTGTGACGAAAGACGTGTTATTGAAGCTAACAAGAGAAGTAGATTTGTGATAGGGACGCAGTGTGGCCGAGTGAGTGCAACTGATCATGTTCACTGACACCCTCGCAATCCACGTTGAACTTGGGCGTGGCAGGTCGGGACCTCTCAGAGTAAATATATGATTTCATCAGAGAACGAGAGGGATCAGGTCACTGAGCGACCACGATGTACACAGAGAGGTTCATTGCGCATCTGACTGTGCAGATTCTATAGCATTTATATGGCACTGTGTGACTAACTGCAAAATGGGTAAATCCCGTGATCAAGAGCACCTGCTGTGCTCTTCCAGGAACCCCATCCCTGGGATTTGGAATGGCCAGGCACATAGGACACATATAAGATAGACGAGGTATCAAGTCAATCAATTACTTGAAGAACGGGTAATAAATGATGATCGATGATAGTCATGGGGAATCGGGTGATATCACAGGCGGCAGAACACCGCCTCAAATGACTATCACAGCCACGAATAGATTGCGCGTGACGAAGATTACAAATTCAAGGTTTGGCCATTTGTCTCAGATAATTTATTGAAAACAGCTAAAATTTCATTCCAAAAAATGCCTAATCAGGTTAAAGAAAACATGGAACACCCGCGAACCCCCCCATAAGTAGAAAAGAAAGAGCACTAACAGCATCAAGGAAATGAAAGGTGAAAACGAATCAGGAAACGTTGAAAAACACAGCAAAACCATGCGATCGGAGAGAGAGACAAAGAGCGGAGGAATTCTAGTCTTTGTTGGTGCAGTGCTGCTAACTGACTAATAGTTGAGAGCGAAAAAAATCCCGAAACTCACGCAAAGAGCCGATCTGTACTAATTCGCACGACCACGTGTCACTATCAGCCAAAAGAGGAGATAAACTGCAATGGCCCGTTTGTTTGATGAATTAGATAGAATTCAAGGTTCTGTTCCGGACGGGTGTGTGATGAACTATCCGCGTAGAGAACTAAATGATTAAAATTCACTCGTCACTAGACTATTTTCGGCAAAATCTTACCACTGGTGCACCAAGATTAGCCCTTTGAGCAATTTGCTATCCCACCTGAGTCCGTGGGAAACCGACTACCATGTGAGCACAATTTAGCCTCAAAATTAGAAACGTTTGAATGCCGAGAAAAAGTTGAGCGAAAAATAAAAACCTCGTCTGCTTAGGAGTACCGAATGGAGGCGAGGGGGAGAGGTGAAACAAAGTGAGAGTTGGGTTGGGGATAAAATAGTGTTTCGGGGATGAGCAAATCACTTACGTGCCGGGATCGGGTACACAGGCTGGTGCGAATAGCATCAGCCTGCTAACGTGAATAACAACGGTAACAAAAAGGGTAACAAAATGAACACAATCGTCAGTCATTCGAGTGATGAATGAGATTGCAATGACAAGGAATTGTCCAGGATAGAAGTCAAACACAAACAAACAAAAATTAACCCACAGGAAATCAACAAACTTGGATAAACAAAAGAATCGATGAAGTTCGTCTTCCGAACTAACTCTTGTCATTAGTGGATCTGGTTTAAACACAGAATCCTTTGTGGATAACACTGTTCAGACTGAACCATTAAATAAAGACTGCTAAGAATAATAGCTGGTCGTTTCTTCTTCTCAGTATCTGCCAAAGGCTGTACTAGGAATTATTTTTAACTCTATAGAAATAATTAAAATATTTTCACATTGATGAGGTATTTTGTTTACGTCAAAATGTTTTGTTGGAATTGGAATGGTGTGGTCGTTCTCTCACAATTCCCCTCATTATTTTGTGGTTTAGCCATCTTTGAATGATATAACAGGGTTTGCCCAGTACCGATTCAGTCGCTCGTCGGTAAACTGGGGAACTTACTGCTTCGGCATGCGGCTGTTCAGTTGCCACTTTTAAAGAACACTCGTCAGGAAATCTGTTAAAAATCTCAGCGATCGTTCCAGTGTGGTACTGAAGTCATTTCCGAAATGACGGGAAATCAGTTTAGTTCAAAGGTATTCTGTATCTTCATCCCCGGTAAAACTTTCCGTTTTCTAATTATTCCCTCAACTCCTTCATCCAAATGTGTACCTAAGATACAGCTAGTAAAACTGCCGCACAAATATGCACAAATAACGTTTGTAAATAAATAAAATGTCTTTTCACTTCCTTTTTCATTTATTGAATATACAAACGTACAGTCAACATTCAGGAAGGGGGGGGGGTGCGGTAATACAAAGGCTGCCTGGGAAGACG